ACCGTAGACAGGGAGACCCAATAACATGTACACGTCCTCTAGCATGACAGTACATTCACCTATTGATAGATGAAATGTATGGGTCTCTCCACCTTTCCAACATTGCAAGTATGAACTTTGAATCAATCGTGCATTTGGAGATCTTTATAACGTTTCCGAAACCTGCATATTCGAGATAGGGTACAATCAACGTGTCAGGAGCAAGGTAGTTGTGTGACCGGATTCTGAATCTTTTAGTATCCTAAGTTAAGAATGTAAAAAGTGTAAGAGTAGGTAAGATGAAGAAAGCATTAATAGAAGTATAAAAAATGTATAAGTATACAAGAAACTTACAAACGTTGCAATATTGTCCCTTGTGCCTCTGTGAGAATCGCCCATTGTGAGAAGAGACATTGTTGAAATTGTCTGAGATTATGAAAGAGATTGAAATTGTATGAGATTATGAAAGAGTTTGTAGCAGAGAGTGAGACGATTGTGGATGCAATAGAAGTATGTGAGGCTCTGTATTTATAGGTAAAATTTTATCACAGAGTAAGTGAGGTGGTAGGTGGGTGCATGCATGCATGATAAGTGTCACTCTTGCAGTGTAGGTGCAGGCTACGTGACAGCTTTGGGGAAAGCATCTCTGCATGCATGTAACACGATTGGACGTGAATAGAGGCTCCATTGGACTTGATGAAAGAGTACAAAAATGAAAGGTGTCGCCATCCCTGTTGGCGAATAAGAGGTGGCATGGGTTGCAGTGTAGGTGCAGGCTAGGTGACAGCCTTGGAGAAGGCATCTCTGCATGCATGTAACACGATTGAACGTGAAGGGAGGCGCCATTGGAATTGGCGAAAGATTACAAAAATGAAAGGTGTCGCCATCCCTGTTGGCGAATAAGAGGTGGCATGGGTTGCAGTGTAGGTGCAGGCTAGGTGACAACCTTGGAGAAGGCATCTCTGCATGCATGTAACATGATTGGACCTGAAGGGAGGCGCCATTGGACTTGGCGAAAGAGTACAAAAATGAAAGGTGTCGCCATCCCTGTTGGCGAATAAGAGGTGGCATGGGTTGCAGTGTAGGTGCAGGCTAGGTGACATCCTTAGAGAAGGCATCTCTGCATGCATGTAACACGATTGGACGTGAAGGGAGGCGAATTAGAGGTTGCTTACTGTTGGTTTATTCAAATTCAGTACAACTTATTTAATCTTACATTTATCAAAACACTTCTACACTTAATCACTCAAACACTAGAACATTCAAAAATTCAAGCAATTAACTCAAATACTTCAAACCTTCAAACCTTCAAACCTTCAAACAGTCATACACAATGGCCTCTGCACCCCAATATATGATCAGTGCACATTTCAACGGTGAGACATACATTTGTCCCACCTCTGGGTTTTTGTTTAGAGACACTGAGAACATCCGATTTTGTTTAAACAGGAAACCCAATTTCTTGTATTTCAAAAAACGATTGGAGGCCAAACTTGGACGAGGTCCCGTGACACAAATCTTTTATCAGAATTCGGTTTTTTTTGGTAACAACCAAATAATATTTTATAAGGTTGAGGTTCAAGATGACGAGGACCTTTAGAATATGTTTTCCAGTCATGAGTATTCTGGGTACGACTCTATTGAGTTGTACACTATGCTGCGAGAGCCTCAACTGTCACAAGTGGTTGATCCTCTGGAGACCGAACAAGCAGAAGTAGATGTCGTTGAAGAAGAAGAAAAAAATGATGAGTTGGAGTTTGATGACATGGTCAATGATGATTCTGAAGATGATGGGATACCCGATATTCCTTCAAATAAGATCTACACACCACCTCCGCACATGACAAACTTCAACATGGGCGGAGATGAACCTTCATCTGATTTATTTTTCAATCCGTATATGCAGTCGGATGAAAACTTAAAAGAGAAAGACATATTTCATAATAGATAAGAATGTATCCGAGCCATAAAAAAATTTCACATGCTCAACTCGGTCGATTTTAAGGTAGACCGTGTAAATCCAGAAAGGTACAAGATCAAGTGTATCCACCCAGATTGTATGTTCAAGCTCACTGCATCATACAAATTAAGAGGTGATTGTTGGGTCATAGGTTCTATGTCCACCCACACGTGTGTTCGTTCTACTCAATCACATGATCATCAGAAACTAAATTATGATCTCATATGTCAAGAAATCCTATCCCTCGTCAGCAACAATCCATCATTGAAGGTGAAAACCATAATCTCCCACATCACTACGGTATTTAACTATACTTTGTCTTACCGAAAGGCGTAGTTAGCAAAGACCAAGGTGATTGAAAAGGTATATGGAAACTGGGAGGAGTCATACCAAGAACTTCCTCGCTACCTGAATGCACTTCAGACTTATTCTCCGGGTACTGTTTACATTCTGGAAACACTGCCAGCGTACGACCCAAATGGTAGTCAACTCAACGGAAATGGAATATTCAGTAGAGTGTTTTGGGCTTTTCAACCTTGCATCACAGGGTTTGCGTCATCCAAACCAATTATACAAATTGATGGGACTTGGTTGTATGGGAAATACAAAGGCACGCTACTGATGGCAGTTGCACAAGATGTCAACAATAATATTTTCCCAATTGCCTTTGTCCTAGTCGAGGGAGAGACTGGTGGTGGTTGGAGCTTATTTCTCAAGAATCTCTAAACACACGTGGCTCCTCAACTAGATATCTATTTGATCTCTGATAGACATGCATCTATTGAAAATGCATACAACAACCCTGCAAACGGTTGGCATGACACTCCTTCTACGCATGTCTATTGCATTAGACATATCATCCAAAATTTCACGAGGGAGATCAAAGACAAAGCTCTTAGGAAAGTGGTTATGAATGCGGGATATGCATTGACACAACCTACGTTCAAATATTATCGCAACGAGATCCGCTTGTCAAATTCGGACGCCGGTAGGTGGATCGGTAACATTCCGGTAGAAAAATGGACTAGGTCATATGACAATGGACAAAGATGGGGCCACATGACAACAAATGTAATTGAATCCATGAAAGGGGTATTCAAAGGCATACGAAACCTCCCAGTAACTGCTTTGGTTAAATCAACATATTTTAGGATGGCTTCGTTGTTTGCCAAAAGAGGTGAAATATGGAATATTATGTTGCAATCTGGACAACTATGGTGTGAAATCTGCATGAAGTATATTAAGTCAGAAAGGGCCAAATCCAACACCCGTATGGTTATACGGTTCGACCGACACAACCACAACTTAATTGTCAAAGAGACAATCGACCATAATGAGGGCCTGCCAAGACAAGAGTATATGGTTATACTACCTTCTCGTTGGTGCGATTGTGGCAAATTTCAAGCCTTTCGTATTCCTTTCTCTCATGTCATTGTTGCGTGTGCCTATACTCATCAAGACGCGCTATAACATCTGTCTCCCATTTATAAATCTGAAACCTTGCTCAACCTATACAACAACAGCTTCCCTTTGGTAGCAAAACCTGATTATTGGCCTGCATACGACGGAGAAATAGTATGGCACAATGACCAAATGCGGAGGAATAAAAAGGGTCGTCCCAAAAGTAAGCGCATCACAACTGAAAGGGACTCCCTTGACAAGCTGGAAAGAAAGTGTGGTTTATGTCGTCAGGTCGGACACAAACGCAAAAACTGTCTGAATCGGGCTACTGGCTCAACCACATAAAAATTGTATTACAAAACATCTTTCCTTTTTAAGTTGTAAACATTAGATTTTTTCATTAACAACATTTGTTACAATAAACCTTGCGCGAACAAGAAATAAAACACGATAAATCGTCTACGAAATTACAACCGTTAAAACAATTTCATCGGACCCATGCATCATCAATATTATATCCCTGTCTGTTTTGACTTTCTCCAGCCAAAAATTAGGTCTTCCTGTCGCAAGTGAGGTTGTTGTCCGTCTTCGCTAGATCCTTCCAATTTGTTCCCCTCCTCGATGTCTCCCTCTAGCCATCGCATCAACTCCCTCTTCAGACGCTCTATGGAGTGAATGTTCCAGAATTTCATTTTCATCGGAGGTTTTGTGGCCGAGAAAATAACGTAATCATCTCTGGTAAAAATCTTGGGCGATGTCATGACGCAAATAACAGAGAAAAAAAATAAGAGAACTGTGTGAGAAAGTGTGAGGAATGACGGAGAAACGGACGAATTATTTATAAAAAATGCATTTTGTCCTAGGAGCCAAGTGAGATGGCGCCTCCTATCACTTTTAAAGTGCATGTGCCATCTCACTTGGCTAAAAGAGAGAGGAGGCGCCAAGTGGGATGACGCCTAGGACAAAATGTACAGTGCATGCGCCAACTGGGTTGACTCCTCCCTTGTGGGGTTTTCTGAAACATGGTTATTTGCGAATTTTTTTTTAATACCTAATTATTCCAAAAGTAAATTCTATAATTTATGTTTAGTATTACAAACTTTTATAAAAAACAGTTTATATATATAAAATAGTTTCATTAGAAAACAGTATTTTTATATTTTAGTAAAAAAAACAGTATTTTTATATTTTAGTAAAAAAACTGTAATTTTATATACTATAAAAAATATTAAATTATATTAAAAAAACTTTTGTATTTTGAAGTAAAAAAAACAGTATAGAATATTTAGAATAAAAAATAAATGTATAAATATAAACATTATAATTTATATATAGTATTAAAAACTTTTGTATAAAACAGTTTATTTAATGTTTGAAACAATTTTTTATATATTTTTAGTATATTTTTATTTGTTAGTGAATATAATAATATTTATTTAGAAAACAATAAGTGAATACAGAAATTCATGAAGTTTCACCGAAGTGTCCTTGAAAGGAATACTAATTTAAAAATGAATAACACCACGCGGTTTAAATGTCAGTTTCTGAATAAACAATTCAATCAACAGGAATAGTTGATGTATATAAATAAAGTAACTATACCACAATATTCCCATCACTCACTGTTAGAACCAAAAACACCATTACACTCATTCAAAACATGGCTTCCACCACCAAAGACTCAGATTTGGCATATTTGGAACACATTCAACAATACCTTCTTTTTGATGATTCCAACCTTCTAACATCTTATCAACCTTTTTCAAGTCCTAAATGTGATAGCGATTCAGGCACATCTGTTGGGACGGATAAGGTAAGCGCACCTCCGGTGTCATGGAAGCGGTACAAGGGAGTGAGACGTAGGCCATGGGGGAAGTTCGCCGCAGAGATCAGAGATCCTAAAAAGAATGGTGCTAGGGTTTGGCTTGGAACTTATTTGACTGAGGAGGAAGCAGCTTTGGCTTACGACAAAGCTGCTTTCAAGATGCGTGGCCAAAAGGCTAAGGTTAATTTTCCCCACCTCATTGGCAACGACGTGTCTACGTCGATGCCAGAGAGGGAGGTGGTTTTAAAACGAGACTCGCCCGAACCTTCTTCGTCGGAGGGGAGTTGTGAGTCATCGTCACCCGGGTCGAAGAAGAGGAAGGGCATGGCTGATCTACTTAACAAATTGGCTAAGAGTAGATGTCAAGCCGCCATGGTGGTTGAGAATGAAAAGACCTTACAACCAAATGATTATGAGGAATGGGTGAATGAGTTGAATGATTGCACTCTAATCTTGAGCTCCTAGGGTAGTTCTGTTCATTTTATGTTTTCTTTTAATCTGTGCAGTTTTCTAATATTTTTGCATTACTCTATTGTTTTTCAAGGGGTAATGTTTAAGCAAAATTACAACATTTAATGTTGTTATTTTTCCGAAAGAGTTCTTTTACATTTGATGTTAACTTGAAAAGAAAATAATTTAAGATGTACAGTTTCATTTTATTTTGTAAGGCAATATTGATATGTGTGCCAAAATGATAGCAAAACATCATTGATTTCACGGTCAAATGACTGCAAAGTTAGCTGAAAGAAGATAAAGAAACCAGTTTTCCTTCCTTTGTATTTTACTCTTTCCGTTTCAGAATGTTGTTTTTTCAAACAGATTAAAAAAAATGTAATAATAGTATGGTAAAATATTGTATTTTTATTATATTAATTTTATAAATATGTTAGAAATAGAGGAGAGAAATAATTAAAGGATATAAAATAGAAAAATAATAATTACTATTTTACATTTAAAAGTGAGAATGATATATATTTTAGAATAAAATTTATTTATAAAAACTATATTTATTTTAAAACGGAAGAAGTAAAAAAGAGACTATTAATTGTTCCGTGGTTGGATACTTGATGATACTGAAAAGAATGTTAATAGTACTCCTTTATAAACAGGTTTGACTACTTTTATTCGTTTTAGTGTTTAAATCTTTGCTTATTAAAAAAATGTTAGTATTATTTCTTTCGTCTCACAATAGGGGTTAACTTTTTTATTTTTATTTATATCAAATTATTTGTCTTTTTAAAATATCAATGTATTATTTATTATTTTTTATCATTAATTTACTCTTATTTATTATATTTTAAATCATATAACTACTTCACTACTTATTATTAATATGATTATTTTAGTAAATAAAATTTATTTTATAATTGAAATTAAGACAATTAACTATTATCTTAAAAAAATTGAAAATTTTAAAGAAGATACCTATTATGAAACAAAGGGAATAACATATTTTAAGGTTGTAAGGTTTTCATATATTTTGAAGTTATAATTTACTATTGAAAAATAAATTAGCCTAAATAGAAATAAGTTTAATCTAATATTTTTATTTAATAAATCTCATAATATTATAATAGAATAATTATAAATATTTACAACACTCTTTTTCAAAATGATGAATAAATATCAATCATTCCAAGTGTATAAATAACTCGATTGAATCATTCTATTGATAAAGTATTTGTTAAAACATCTATCCACCGATGCACAAATGGTATATAGGAGGTAATTATCTAACCATTATTCAACTTTTTTTAGATGAACATCTCAATAAATCTCAATGTATTTTGTTATACCATGTTAAGTCGGATTATGTGCAATACTGGTGATCAATTTATTATCACGAAACAATTCCAAAGGGCTTTTACATTGTATCTTTAAATCTTCTAGCACTTGTTTTATTCATAATAGTTTACAAATCCCTAATGTCATAGCTCTGAGTTATGCTTGAGCACTTGATCGAACAACTATACTTTACTTCTTACTCCTCCAAGCAACAAGGTTTCCACTCAAGAAGGTACAATAACTTAAAATAGATCTTTTATCAATCAATGAATCGACATAATCAATACCATTGCAATTTTTCATAGTTAGACTTCCACCTTTTTAAAACTAAAGTCTTTTCACTGGAATGGCTTTAAGATATTATAGAACATGGTCAACATCTTGCAAGTGTCTCACCCCTCAGATCATGTATGAATTGGCGCACAATATTGATTGCATATGCCAAATTCAATCTAATGTGTGTCAAGTAAATCAACTTTCTCGCCAACCTCTGATAGTGACCTTGTAAACTTTAGCACTTTCTTCCTCATAACCCATCTTATGATTTTATTCAAAAGGAACACTAGAGGTTTATATTCAAGTTATTCTATTTCTTACAAAAGATCAAACACATATTTTCTCTAAGAGATACAAATGTCTTTATTTGAATGAGCTACCTTAATTTCCAATAAGTATTTGAGTTGTTCAAGGTCTTTCATTTTAAATTCTGCTGATAATTTATTTTTAAATAGTTGTCCATCTCTCAAATCATCTCATCTAACATTAATATTGTCTACATAGACAAGAAGTTCACTTTCATCTTTGTGTATGTTTAAAAAATGGTGTGATCTCATTGGCTTTACTTATAGTTTAAACACAACATTTCCTTTGGGAATCTTACAAACCATATCAGTGGGGACAAATTTAATCCATATAAGGCCTTCTTCTATCGACACACCTTATTGGCTCCACCGGTGATAGTAAAACCTTGTAGAATATCCATATACACTTCTTCTTGTAAGTTTCCATGCAAGAACACATATTAAACATCTAGATATTGTAGTTCTCATCCATAATAAGCAACAAGAGATGATAATATTCGAAAAATATTCATCTTTGTCAATTGTGCAAAAATTTCTTTCAAAATCATATTAGGATGTAGAAGTTTTGTTGCTTACCTAATTAATTGTGTCTCATCTTGTATTATAGGTAATGTCCTGTTCACCTTATGATCTCACTTTTTATTTTAGCTTTTATTTTACAAGGTCTTAAAATTTTTGAGTATTTGGTTGTATAGTTTTTGTCCATGTTCATAAGCAACGTCGAACTAATTTGGATGTGTTCCCTTAGAAGTGTCTTTGTGGGTTAACCTCCTATCAGAAAAGGGTAAAAATGTTATCATCCTCTCAGTCGTAAGTAATTTTTTTTAAAGATGACACCTTTCATAAATATGTGTTTTACATCACTCATCCTCAGCCTCTATGGGAGATTGTGAATTACTCTGACTTTGAGTTTGAGATTTCTATCCTCAGTCATAACTTTCCTAAAAAATTCGAATCTACTTCGGAGCCTAAGTTATTTCCAACTATATGTAAACTTACTCCTAGTTATATTCATGACCAAGTACCTTCGACACCAATATAGTGTATTAGAGAAAAAGTAAATTTGATATGATCCAAAAGTAACTCCAATCACATGAACCATAGGTAAGTATTGAAAATTATTCTCCTATTGGCGATGCTCAAATTTCCGATACTTATGTTATTGATTTGAATGTTTTACTCAGTGCTTTGAGAAAAGATAAAAAATCTTATTCTTCCAAATATGTCTTTTCTAATAATATTTCCATGCAGTATCAAAGTTTTATTGAAGTTATTGATTCATTGAGAATCTCATCATATGTTGAATAAGCATTGAAATAAAAAAATGGGCCCAAACTATGAATGAGGAAATGAAATCTCTTGATAAAATGGTATTTGGAATATTGTTGAGAGGTAGGGAAATAAGTCAGTTAGATGCAGATTGATTTATACTATAAAAGCACGTATCAAATTGCACCATTGATAGTTACATGAAAATACTAGTGGAAAAAGGTTATACTCACACACATGGAATTGATTAAGAGGAGGCAATAAGGTTATACTCACACAAATTCAAAACTAATGGAAAATTTTACAATGACACATATCTAAGAATACTTTTCACACGTCGATATTGTACATTCATGAGCATTATTCATACACTAGTATTGTTCATTCCGACGACAATGTTCGCGTTTGGTATTGTTCATCATGAAAGTATTGTTCATTCTGGAAACAGTGTTCACGTTTGACATTTTTCATCCAGTTTTCATTGTTAATAAAGGAAAAAACTGGAACGGAGCTTTTGTGTCTCTTTGCTACTTTTTTCTAGGTTTTTTTTTTCCTTTTTTTACCGTTGAGAAGACACTTTTGCAAATATTTATCAATATGGTAAAAAAAATAGATCTATTGTGATTTACGCCTTTAGTAGTGTTGATATTGTCCTCAAGAGTGCTTGGATCTTTGATTTTGGTGTCACTCCTCACATTACATTTGATACTCGACATTTTTGTAGAATATTTTTCCTTCCAGTATTCTGCATACTATTATTGTAGATGATTCTCATATTCAGGTTTATGGTTATGGAGACATTGATTCTCAATCTTTTAAATTGCGAAGACAAGTTTTAAAACATGAAATCTTGGTTGTTTCTAACAACAAAAAGAATTTCAATGCTGATAAAAAACTATCTGCAAATCATAAAAGAGTTCAAAATAGTAATATGATTAACAGAATTAAGAATGGAAATCTTTTAAGACCTTAATTGCTCCAATTTCTAAGTAACAACTATCATCTCAAATAAATGTAAGTGGTGTTTTCTCTTACATCAATTACAGAAAACTAAGTCATATGGCTAAAAAATGTAGGAGTAAGCCTAAACCATGTTTTGGCCCTAATACGCGAGTTTACCTGATTGGTAAAAAAATTATTCAGAAAAATAATCAAAGCACAAATGATTATGAGTTTAATTTTATCATAAAAAATTGATAATAAATTAGTTAATTGTTTGATAAATTTTTAAATATTTAATTATAACATAAAATAGTCTCTAAAATTTATATTAAAATAAAATTATAAGGGTTATAATAAATAACCATCGAGAATAAAATTTAATTTAAATATTATTATATATTTTAACTGATTATGTAAAAATTGTTTTATAATTAATCTTGGATAAATACTTATTATCAAAAAATTTCTAGGCACTCTTGTACCCTAATTTTGCCCCTAAGATCCCTTCATAATACCATATTGATTTAATTACAACAAGATCACATTAGGGCTTTTGGTTCTCCTCCCTATCTTTAACTTTACTCTTTGAGGAATCACCAAGCACCTTGACTTGTTTTTCTTTTGTGATCATGCATGTTTTGTTTTGACTTTCCTTTTAATTAATAAAATGCAATGTTGGTTTGTCTTACTTGTCAATAATGTAGGTAAAGGCAATGTGGCTTAGCAAGTTGATCCATGGGTTCATGAGTTTATTTCCATGCCGTAGTCAATAAAGCTTTAGAAATTCAAACCTCACTATTGAAGTTGTTTTGGAAGAAATGGCATGGCAAGGTTTATTTTGGTTCACTACATTTCAAAGTTATCAAGATTGATTTAAAAGTGCAAGGG